TGGAGGAACCACAGCACCCAGAGCCAGGCCGAACAACAAGAGGAGCACGATCATGTTGGAGTTTGAAGTCTCAAAGTATGAGAAGACGTCAGTGTCTTGCTGGAGACGATCTGCACAGTTGGATGTTTCCAAGAATTCTGTAGAGATACACGACAGGCTGCTTTCTTTTATATCCTTCATAGAGGGTGTTCACTGTTGGTGTTATCTGATTGGCAGAAACTTTCAGTCGTAAACATCTACACAGCATCTGAACATGACCTAATTAAAAGAGCATCAGCTCACCTGCAGCTGTAACATAAAAACCCATAATTCATTTAACTGCAGTAAGATGTTGACATCAGAAAATACAGCTTTAGAGGATACATTTGATCTTAGTTGTCTGAGTTGTGTTGCTTTGTGACTGACTTTACCAAAAAACCCAAATATTCACACATCAGCAATATTACAACAGTACAAAGCCTTCAGTGTGTTTTCTCTTGTATGGTTACTTTTGTGTTTTTATTTCATTATTCAGACAGGAGTTAAAGGACCAATGTGTAGGATTTAGTGACATTTAGTAGTGAAGTTACAAACTGTGACGTATGAATATTCTTCTCCTCACCTTCACCTTCCACGTGTGTTGGCTCAAAATCAACCAGGACTCCGGAAGGAAGACAAGGAACTTTCGGACAAGTCATATATGTTTATTATTCATTAACAGTTGTTGAACTGTGGCACGTTTTATTGGAGCTTTATTGTTTGTTTGTTACTGTTTTTACATTTTTATGGTATCATATAAAATCTTATCTGCAAAAGTGAAACATCAAACTAAACAGGCCTGCAGAGAGGAGACATACAGGAAGAATTATGACGTTGTTTTCCCGTTGCTTAATGAGTCTTCTAATGACATCGCAGAATTTCACATGAACCTTTCTTATGCATTATGATTTCTTTCAGCTCTTTGATTATGTGTTATAATTGTGTTTCAGCATGTCATGATATAAATCCACAGACATGTTAAACATATATGAACACATGGTTTAAATATGTAATTATATTTTCCCATGATGCTGAAAGCAACAAGGCCTGTATGTATGACACTGAATATGTATGAGTAGATTTCTTCAGTAGAAATCAACTGGACTTCTCTTTTATGTTCTTTCAAAAACCTTAAAAAAACTTGATTTCAATGGTAAGAAGCCTTCAGTGTGTTTTCTCTTGTATTTTTGTGTGTGTGTGTGTGTGTTTTTTTTAATGATTAATATTATTTAAAAAGGCCTTAAAGAACCAGTGTGAAGGATTTGATGACATCTAGTGGTGAAGCTACAAACTACAACTAATGAATATTCCTCTCCTCACCTTCCCCTTCCACGTGTGTTGGCTCAAAACCAACCAGGACTCCAGAAGGAAGTCAAGGACATTTCAGAGAAGCAATATATGTTTGCTATTCATTAACAGCTATTGAACTCTGGCATGTTTAATTGGAGCTTTATTGTTTGCTTTTCACAGCCCTTTTCACATCTGGATCACATTAGACCAAGTCTAGATCTAAAATCATGACAGGACAAATTTAGACTACATGAAAAGAAAGAAAGAAAGAAAGTGTCCCTTAATTAACAAAAAAGGTCCTACTGTGTCACGGAATAAGTAGGCTGGTTGACCCAAATGCAGAAATGACACTCAGGAGAGATGGAATCAAAAATAAAGTTTATTGTAGAAACTGATGTTGTAAAGGTGAGAATGAAAACGAGGCGGGGGTGTTACCAGTTGTGCGGTGATAGTCATGGGAGCAATGGAGAAGGCTTGGGTTCGATGCAGGCGGGAAGCTCAAAACGTGGATTGGGAACACAGGGAAAAAATCCTCAATGAAGACGAGGCAGGAGCAGAAGCTCGGAAAGAGGCACGAAGGGAGGCTCGGAAGAAGCACTCGGGTGCTGGCTAGAAGTCGCCATGTAGGGCAACACTCAGGCAAAGAGTGAATGTTGAAGGCTCCTCTTATACCGGTGGTGACGACCCAAATGAATTGCAGGTGTGTAGCTCACACACCTGCAGGGAATCAGTCACTGAGAATTCCTTCAGGACGCCCTCTGGTGGACGCCTGGAGGAGAACAAAAACACAGGGCCAAAATCACCATTCCCTGACATACTGGGAAGAACCTGAAGGTTGAATATTTACATTTCTCCCCCACAGGTTAATATCTGCTGCCCTAGTGACATGTTTTATGTTAGTTTAATGACATAGCCTAATTAAAAAATAACTCCAAAATTTCTCACTGATCAGTATCTATCTGACTGGATGTTGTGTTTCTGAGGTGTTCAGGGCCAAATATCACAACTTCAGCTTTCTCTGAATTTACTGAAGAACACTGCAGGTCATCCAGGCCTTAATGTCCCTGAGACATGCTTGGATTTCAACTAACTGATCAGCTTCATCTGACTTCACAGAGGGGCTGCAAGGTGGCTCGGTGGTTAGCACCGTTGCCTTGCAGCAAGAAGGTCGCTGATTCGCGTCTCGGTGAGGACACCAGGGATCTTTCTGCGTGGAGTTTGCATGTTCTCCCCGTGCAGCGTGGGTTCTCTCCGGGTTCATGTTGAGGTTAATTGGTGATTCTAAATTGTCCATAGGTGTGAATGTGAGTGTGCTTGGTTGTCTGTCTCTAAGTGTAGCCCTGTGATAGACTGGTGACCTGTCCAGGGTGTCCCTTGCCTTCACCCTGAGTCAGCTGGGATAGACTCCGAGTCACGACAGATCCTTTCATTCCAATGACATGTTTCAGTCTCTGTGATGAAATGTTGTGATCAACTGTATCAGAAGCTGCGCTGAGATCGAGCAACACTAGAATAGAAACAAGTCTACTGTCTGATGCTATGAGAAGATCGTGGCTGTTTCTGTGCTACAGCTCAATACGCTATCCTAAAGATATGGAGTGAAATATTAAATAAAAAAATTCACTTTGAAAGTAATTATAAATATGCCTCAGTTGGTCCTAGAAGGGCCATATTATGTATTAATGCAATATCTGTGTTTATAAAGCAGTGGGCTTGAAGGGGAAACATATATAGTCTGAAATCCAAAAGTATCTTGATCTGCAATAGACAACATGATTACCATGAAACAGCCCTATTAATCACAAGTTACATATGGAAAAGTAGGATGTTAGTCACATCCTTTCAGCCCTTGAATGAAATCTGCAGTATTTAATCCTTTACTGTTTCACAATGGATTGTATTTTTATGGTACAATCAATACAGCTCTGACTCCTGACAGGGGAATTCCACTCAAAAGAAGAATAGATAGTGTAAATTAGGTTTTGTTTAGATGAATAAATGTACACCTCCTGGATATCACCACATTAAATGAGCTGTTAAACATGAGTTTCTCTTACAGTTAATTAACAGTAAAAGGGGCTGAGCCGCTGGAACATTTATTTCAAAGCACTTTAATAAAACCACAATACAAGAAATATGCAGAATAATGTAGACGAGTAAACGGCTTTTGTTTGACTTCAGTCAACAGTATGTTTCTGGAGAATCACATGAGGACAAAATAACATATTCAATATATGAAAAGGTTGGGGAAAAGTATCACAAATATTGACAATACATAGAGCAGAACTTGAAAAGCAAGGCATACATTAGGTCTATTACTGCTTTATAAGGTATTATTGAAAAAAATACTGTTTCATGTAAAATTTATCACAAATATTCAATAAGGGTGCTATGAAAAACTCTCCAATGTGGTTATGGATGAGTTACATATGAGAAAATACTCTTTTGAAAATATTTCCTTCAACACAGCATTGAAATGATTTGTTTTAGTGTCCAACAATCATGAAAATGAAAATTCATTTAAAAAAAAATAAACAGAAAGACTTGTACTTTTTTTTCTTTATCTTGCAGGTGTCATTGAACAGCACAAACAAACACATATAAAGTCACTGAGCTGACACAGGAATAAACATTTTCAGTTGCTAGAGACAAACTGTGCGAAGTGCACAAACAAAAGGCATTTGCAATGAACAAAGAGCGTCATTCCATCTTAAAGCCGGGCCCAAGTTGGTGTGTCCACAGTGTTCCCGTCCTCGATAGTTGTTTGGCTCTCCTGTGTTCCAAAAGAAAAAGTTGGCTACAGACGCATCAGACCACATCCAGCTGCCTTCTTTATGGATGTCACTGAGTCCGATCCAGGTGGGTCTTACAGCAGGATCAAAATTCCTGATCAGGGAGTTGACGAAATTCTGCTCCTGCTGACTGTGGATAGACACCAGGTTGGCTCTGAGTGACATGCAGTGGAGCTGTGCATCGGCCCAGGACATGGGCGAGGAGAGGTACTTGTAGCAGCGGCCGTTGAAGCTGAACCAGAACATGGGACAGCTGCCTCGCTGTAGCGCCACTCTCTGCTCATCTGGAGGAACCACAGCACC